GACTAGGGTTTTGCTCTTTTTTTTTTGTTAGCTTGTTGGGAGACAAGGGAGCATGTATTTATAGGGGGGTGGGTAGCTTAGGGTTTGTGTTGAATTGGGCTTTAAAATCGGGCCTAATAAATTGGGCTCGATTTAAGAAAATAAATACCGATAAGTGGACCGACTAAATAAGGTCGGGCTCGGTAATATAATTGCTATTAGGCTCGATTTTAAAATACTACTTGAGCTTAGTAATAAATAAATTATGCAATTAATATTAATAATTCTCCGCATAATTAAAATAATACTAATACCGATAAATAAGTCGAGCTATTAATATAATATTATTCCGGGGTGTTACAGTATGTGTTTAAATATTAGGGCTTGGTAGATTCCTGGAAATTACAATATTACCCCCTATGAATATCTTTGTCTAATATATGACCAAATATTACAAAAATGCCACCGCGAGTTTGACTTTAATTAGTAAGTTTTGACTCCATCAAAACCATTGATATGTTGGATCTAATGGTCCACAATCATTCTTATTTCTTTCACTATCTCTCTTTCTCATATGATCATTTCTCTATATTTATATAAAAAAGATTTGATTGTTTTTTAAATAATAATTATTTTCCGTCAAATAAATATTGTTTACTAATTTTGGAAACTATTTAAATATTTTATGGTATGTTTTAAATATACAATTTAGGTAATTGCGGCTAATTTATTAAGGTAATAAATCATATAAAAATTTCATTTGTATCTCTAGATATTTATATCATATATTTGTACCTAAAATATCGAGATATATCACATCCCTAACAAACATTAGATTTACTAATATATTTTATAATATATCACATCAATAAATAATATTAACATACATTAAATATTTATCATTATATAAAATAAAAATATTACTTTTATAAATGTTATAAATAATATTGAAATTATACGACAATAAGTTTTTGAATAATATTTGAGTATTATGATGAACCAAAATATATGAAGTTATTATTTAAAAAAAAAATATATATATTATATGTTAAAATATTATTTATATTAATATAAACAGATCAACAAGCTAACACATTGTTAAAATAAAATTTTACAAAAATATTTTAAATTACGAAATTCCCCCGTGCATCGCACGTCTCACTAGTTATAGGAACAAAGTTTAATAAAAGATGCACAAAGGTTAAAAGCCAGCAGTTGTAGGAAACCAAGTTAGCTAGCCAGCTTGAGTTTACAAACACCATTTTAGAAATAGTTTACCAAAAAAAAAAAGGTTACTGCTTCAAAATCCGTGCACAATAAATATCATCTCATACTTCAAATATCGATTTTACAAATACACACAAATTGCATATCATATCCCAGCCTCCACATTGTGCCACCACTTGAATTGTGGCTTCCTTTTTTTTTTTTAAAAAAAAAAAAAAAAAAAAAAAAAAAAAAATCTCCAATCATGTTTGCTACATTATTTATTTCGAGTTTGAACTACCCACTAAATAACCAGAATATAAAACCATCTTATTAAAGGATACAAATATAACAGAAAAAAAAA